GTGTTTTTGACTTCTGGGTGGAGGCTTAATGGCTAGGGGCTAAAAAGACAAGTTTTTAATTTGTGTTCACAAACACCTTTGCTTGGGTTAAAGTGTTGTTGAGTGTTAACAGTTGCGGTCTGGTTGTGTTTTGTTTGATCAATTTTCATTTGAGATGACACATAGTTTTTTTTTGCATTTTTTATTTACAACAAGTATCCATGAATGGAGATGTGACAGTGTTTCCGTTGTGTCACTGTTCAACTCTGCTGAAGTAGTAGTATTTCTCACAATCTGGCATGCAGCATCTCAGAATTCTGAAGGGGAGGGGGGCTCCAAGGACTGGAATTCTGAAAGCACACAGGGCTCACAGTAAGGGCACTAGTGGTCTTCTTTTTTTTCTTTGTTTTTTAAGGAAAAAAAAGGAACTTGTCTTGAACAAGGCATTATTTACCAATATTTTCTTACCTTAGGTCGATGTACAGTTAATACTGTGGAAAAATACAACCCTGCATCAGACACGTGGTGTGAAGTATCACCCATGATGACGCCATGTCGAGGTCTGGGTGCAGCTATATTAGAAGGCATCCTTTATGTCGTGGGTGGATCAGATGGTATTGCTGCTTTAAATCGAGTAGGTTCACTAGTTTCTGGTATGTACTCCTCTTTTGGATGTGCCACAGTTCACTCAAATTTCTCACTGGACCTTCATTTCCTGTCTCACACACTCATGACTGCCTCACTCCTCTCTCTCTTTCCCTACCTACATACCTATCCAGTGTCTACCTCACCAGAAAAGCCATCTACTTACTCATTACATGTTCTATCTATGTGTCTAGGAGCTGTATTGGGAGAATATCAGCACAGAGTGTTTACATGTAGGCCTCCATCTTGACTTCGGTAAACAGTGCAGGGTTGGGGTGAGGGAAACATATGCCAAGGTAAAGGAAAAGGTAAATTTTCCTTCTTCCCCACCCCCTCTGGCTCCACCCCCATCCACCCTCTCTCACTCATCCCCACTCTGCACATTTTGCAAAATTGCCACTAAAACACTCTGCACTGCAGGCTACAGAAACTGTGAACCAGTTGAGCTTGCTAAGAGGCTTTCCTTTTTTGTAGGTAGAGCAGTATGATCCTAGTTCAGACACATGGACTGCTACCACAAGCATGATTGAACACAGGAGTAGTGTAGGCATAGGTGTCCTCAATGGCTTGCTGTATGCTGTGGGTGGGTATAATGGACAGACAACTGTCAACACAGTCGAAAGGTATAATCCACGCACCGAAGAGTGGACCATGATCTGTGAAATGACCACAGCACGAAGCATGCTTGGGGTGGCATCACTGAATGGTCACCTTTATGCAGTTGGTAAGTACAATACAGGTCAAAGGCAAGGAACCAACCCTCACGCCATATGCAGTGCTCTTTTTTCAGGTTTGCATGTTTTAAAGTGCATGTGGCGGCACATTTCCTCTTCAGGTGCATTTTTGCTTTTTTTTTGCACTGAAAATTCCCCAAATACTGTCGCCAAATAACAGCTTATTGTTAAACCAGCTGGGTTTAAGTTATTCGGTGGTGGCGCTTAATTGAGTAAAAACAGTAAGTAATGAATGGTTGTATCGGAAAATAAACCCAGCTTTTTAAAACAAGCTTGGACTGTAAATAATTGACAGGGAAAATCTTGGTCCATATTTTACAGTAACAAGAATATAAATCATGTTGCTTTTATAGGTGGTTATGATGGTGTATCAGACCTCTCTTCTGTGGAGCGTTACAACAATCAGACAGATCAGTGGCAGTTGGTGTCGGCTATGAAGACTCCACGCTCAATGGTCGGTGTGACAGTACTGAACAGTTATTTGTTTGCTGTTGGTGGATGTAATGGTCAGAGTTTAGAAAGTGTTGAGGTGTACAATCCTGAAACTAATGTATGGACAATAGATGCACCAATGAAAGTGCCTCGTAGTGGAGTTGGCATGGCAGTTATTGATGGCCTTTTGTATGCCATTGGTGGCTGTAATGGAATGGACTATCTGAACAGTGTGGAGGTTTTTCATCCACAGAAAAAAAGATGGACATCATCTACAAGTATGAAAACAAATCGACGGCGATTCGGTTGTTGTTACTGATTCAGATTACATGATTTCATTTTGATTAAATTATACTACTCCCTCCTGGATGGGATGCTAGTCCATCACAAGGCTACCCCTGAATTAAATTTGCCAGTCTGGGTGGAGAGAGGCACTGTGAGAGTACAGTGTCTTGCCCAGGAACACAACATTGTCCCCAGCCAGGGCTCAAACCAGGACCGCTTTATCCAGAGTCAAGTGCACTAACCATGAAGCTATCAGTTCAGTGACATCTGTAAATTACTTTTGAGAAGATTCTTTTGAACTTTCTACAGGCAAACAGACATCATATTAATTTGATGAAGATATAGACATAATATTATTTTATGTTACTCCAAACTAAGAGTATATAAAATGTTCTGACTGGCCATTTACTATTTATTTATGAACTGACAAAACATTGTCTTCATCACCATATTATATTTATTCTTACCTGGTCTGTAATGTTAGCAAGGCCACTGGTATATCAGTGTTTTATGCTATTTTCTGCTACCCTCATTAAAAATAGACCTTACTAACTTATTGTCTTTGATCATGCAGCGTGGCAAATGCTTCATGTCGAGAAGTCTGGGTATGACTTGTTTTGCCAGAAGATAGCAATCTATGAACGGCCTTTTGTGGGAATACCATTCGATACAAAATGAAATTAACTAATTATCAATTGACATCAATTGCTTTTCCAGTCGTTGACTTCCACCCCTGGTCCAAGTGCATTTAACACTGTAGACAAATGGAAATATGGCATGTAGTGCTCACACAGTCAACTCTATTGAATACAAGTAATTTTAAAGAATTGTTTGCCAAACTTGTCCCTGACTGTTACAAGAAAAACATGCTTACTGCTAAAGAGAACAATACATTTTATTAGAATTCACTTATGCCAGTCTTTAGAGAAGGAAGGTTACAAGCAAAGTCTTAGTTACTGCCTGGAGCAATTTCATTCAGCAACTATAAAGAGTTTTCTAAGTGAATTTTCACTAGTTACACACATACTTGTACATGAGCACAAGTTTTTGTAAAATTTCTGTTTGTTCAAAAGCCCTACTATTAATTAACAGTGGTCAGTTCCAAGGTTCTCTTCATCACAAGTTTTATTATTTGAATCTAGTTATACAAGCAATTTGAAAAGCACTCCTACATAAACTAAACTACCCACTGCAACTCATACAACTTCGTATTGCACTTCACCAGTTAAAAATTAAAGCTTGTGTTTGTTCCAACAATGGTCACAGACTTGTGCATATCATTTGAAGAAAATAGTACAATTGATGAAAGAAACTTGACGTCACTTTTGTAATCTTATAATTTCCTGTGGCCAGGAGAAAGAAAGACATGTCTTCTCCATTTCTCCAGTTAAGCTTCCAGTCAATGGAACCTGAACTGAAGAGACAGTTTGATAGAGATTGAAAGATTGCCCTTTCCTGAAATTTTCTTCACTCCCTTCTCAGCTACAAAAGATGGTACAATCTTTTTTCATTGCAACCTGCTATGTTACCAAAACCAGCAGAAATTGTTTTCCTGTTATTGCTTGCCACGATTAAATCAAGACTAGAAAATACGATCAAAGTGAGGTCAAGATTGCAACTGTGACCTTTCAAAACAACTACCAAAACTTTCATAGCCAGTAATATGTGACTTGCCAAGTCGACAGACCTTACACTACATACGTGCTAGGAATTTAATAGAGGTAAATATAACAATTATTAAAAAATGCTATCATTAATTTTTCTACATCAGCAGCAGATCCATACTGGCAAACAAGTTACATTTTTGCTGAAAAGGTAGGGGCCTGGGCCCATCTGCTACTGCTTTATACTGTTGAAATTGTCTTGCAGTGGAACAAAAATGCAGTTAAACACAGGAAACTAAACGAAAATAGCATTAAAGTCTATGAAAATAAAACCAGGATTAATCCAGTGCTCCTGGATTATCCCTGTTAAATGTATTTCCCATACAGTACTTATTGCATGAGAGTTGGTTAACCACCTCATTTTGAATTTTTAAGTTGGTTTGATAGCCAGTCGAGTCCTTCATATAAACCATCTCCGCTTGTTGCACATGTAGCCTGTATGTACCATTGGCGACTTCTTAAGCTGTGTAGGCCTAGCTTATCTGTTATTTCAGCAGCATTCATTGCATTGGGTAAATCCTGGAAAACAACAAGAACTGTTTACAACAAAGAAATAACAAGATTGTACAATTTGTTTCCTGCTTACTGTACATCAGATCTAACTACATGTACATGCCTCCCTGAGATCAACAGTTTTAACCCAACCTCATCAGTCTTAAGATTTTGTTAACTTTAATACAATGGCAAAACATTTATAAGATGACTAAAAAGCCAATGTGGGAAGCCAGTTACCGGTCGTGATACCAACTCTAAACAAAGTCACTTGGGGTAGGAGGGGTGTTTGCCTTGGAAAATTTTGAAAATCTGTGTGTGTCGAGGTGCATTTTTAGCACCCAATAGGCCACTATACACTTGGACGCTACTATACACTTCATACAGAACTACAGAAGGCTTTTTATACCATTGGTACTTGTTGCATTGTCCTTGCAATTCTATTTAATTGAACTGTCGTGACGTAAATCAACTGTAGTTTTATTGCTATTATTTCAATTATGCAAGTTCAAGAAAAAAGTTTAAATATCAATATCGTTTTAGTTATCTTAATGAAAAAGAGCTACAGGTCATGATGAATCAGAAGGATTGAGGCTATATATTTCCTGTTATATTTCCTGTCACATACATGAAGTATCACTACAAAATCAGCAATGGTGTTCGTCTCTCTGTCAGTGTAAGGTAAGGACTGCAGACTACAGACCGGGCCTAAAGTGTCCATTAAGGGTAAAATGTGGACTGCAGACTAGACTTTTTAATGGAATGAGAACAAACTGTAAACATGCTAAAGGGAGCATTATTTAAGTGATATACAGTCTGCGTTTTACATTGAGCTGTTTCTCTCCATTTTTTGATTTTTCATTTGTCTGCAAGTTCTGAAGACTTACGTTGTTGAAGGGTTTTATTGTCAAGACAAACTTTCAAACAGTCCCTTAGAATACATCTGGGGCAGTTTTGATCCTAATGAACAAGATTTCATGACGAAGACCGCCTTCCTTCGTGTTCTCCACACAAACATGTTTAGTCTGTAGAGGGCTATGCCGATTTGTAGTCAGATAACCTGAGTTGTATGTTGATTGGTCCATCATCACTTTAAAAAGTGGAACAGCAAATAACATTTATTTACTTGTTTGCCTTGATGACTTCTCAGTAGTGGCAATAAAAGACAACATAGTCTGTTAGGTCCGCTGCTTCATCATGGAAAATGTGCACAGGCCAACAATTCTGATACATGCCCCATACATGTACGAAACAAATGCCAAAACTAAGTTGCTGTTATTTGAAGTTTGAAGGTAGGAGACCAGTGGAACTACCCGAGGAAAATGGAACAACATTTTTCGATCACACCGGGCCAACCAAGAGGGATTATGGTCAAAGATTCCAACCCTCCCGCTTTGATTGGGAAACTCCCGATTTGATGCGTTGCCTCCTGCTCTCCCGATTCTTATCAAATTCTCCTGATTTATCTTAAAATTGTGAAAACAAGGGGGAAATGCTGATCTTAAGTATTTTTTTGCGATGTATTACACTTTCTTCTCATATTATCTCATCCAGTCTCTCACTGCGTGTTGTGCAGACTCATCAGGCCAGCAGTCTTACTCCATTTTTCCTGGTGGACATGGCCCTGGACCCCCCTAGAGGCTGGCGCCTTCAGCGCTAAGAGTCTCCCTATTTTCCTTCAAAAGGGGTTGGAATCTCTGTATGGTTATCTACCATTTTTTATTCCTTTCCAGAAATCCCTACATAAGTGAAATCTACTGAAGAGAAGTAGGGCAATGAACGGGTTTCAAAAAGGAATGGCAAATTTCAGTCTGACCGGTCTGACCGGTGAAAGTGGACCACATCCAGAGGTGGTACCGAATATTCCAGATGGACCAGACAGAAAAGGACCTTTCCATTTGATCTCCAACCAATATTTCAGGAATTTTTGGCAGTGGAAAGCACCCACTGGTTCCCTAGGGACCAGTCATTACGTGCTTAACGATTAGCTCTCATCAAGGGGTGTTGCGTCGGGAGGGGGGGGGGATTTTGATTTTTCATGTAACAGCCCTATATACCATCAAACTTCACACATTTGCATGTACCCTTGTTACCATGTTGGCACGTTTTAAATCGCTTTTAAGTACTTCATGATGATTGTACGATCTAGGCATTCATTATTTTATACCTGTTTGTTGGCGAAGACAAGGAGAATAGCATCCCTTAGTTCATCTTCATTCAACATCCGGTTCAGTTCTTCTCTTGCTTCACCGACACGCTCGCGATCATTACTATCCACCACGAAAATCAGACCTAACAAAACACAAACGAGAAAAATAAACGCAAATTTTAGAAGAATCAAACGAAGACAAACTCGAGAAGAGAGGTCCGCCGACGATATTGCACAACATTTCGAATTCAACAACCGGCAACCATACCTTGTGTATTTTGAAAGTAATGTCGCCAAAGTGGCCTGATTTTGTCCTGACCGCCGACATCCCAAACTGTAAAGCTTATGTTCTTGTATTCCACTGTTTCCACGTTAAAACCTAGGGGCGCAAGTTTGAAATTATGTCAAAGTTAATTCATGTTAGGCAAGAATGAAACACACATGATACAACAAACTGTCATGGCGTCTCAACAAGTGGATCGCCGCGTCGCTTTGTACATACCAATTGTAGGGATGGTTGTAACGATTTCTCCGAGCTTCAGCTTGTACAGAATTGTCGTTTTCCCAGCAGCATCAAGACCAACCATGAGAATTCTCATCTCCTTCTTACCGAAGAGTCCACTGAATAGTTTGGCAAACGCACTTCCCATGTTTCAGAACTTTATAATTGCTCCTTGAAAGCAAACACCAGAAGATGTTAGGAAACAATGAGCCGAAAAAGGAGCTTAGTATAATGCGAGGACTTTCCTATCTAACGGTTTCGTTTACCTTAAAAATAAAGGTCTTTCCAAATGGCAAACTTTACAACAAATCTGCCCACTGAAAAACTCGACACGTCGTCCACCAATCTCGTTACCAGGACTGCCCGAGTCTTTTAAAAAGTCTTTGAGGACTGGGAACTAGACCATCAAAAGAAATGTGGGCACTTGATATTACTACTTGTTTCAAGTCGTTGGTTTTGTGATTTTCATTGCCGAATGGGTTTCTCCCTACCAGTTCGAGTGTCTCTATTTTTTGTGTGTGTGTTTTTTGTCTTTGATTTGGAACTTTTTTGGTGAAGATCGAGAAGGGGGTGGGGTGGGGTTACAGGTCAGAAATAGGGCAGACAAAAATCCTTCACAGGTTCATAGCAACAACAGCAAAAAACAATTGAGCAACGTGAGGTGCGCCTAAAATATGTATGAAAGAAACCTAGTACTGGAGTCTTTCCACATAAGTTTGCTTTTGGCCTTGCAGTTTTAGTGTTTGTGTCCTCAGATTGACAAACTAGAAGCACTCGCTGGAGTTGAAAAACTCTCACAAGTAAAATTACCCACCCAAC